ATCATGCCAGTTAGAATGGTGATCATTAAAAATCTGGAGACAACAGATGCTGAGGAGGATGTGGTGACATAAGAACTATTTTATACTATTGGTGAGAGTGTAAATTAGTTCAACTATTGTGGAAGACAGTGTGGTGATTCCTCAAGGATCTAGAAATAGAAATACCATTTGACCCATCAATCCCATTACTGGGTATATACCCAACGGATTATAAATCATTCTATTATAAAGACACATGGACACATATATTCATTGTGACATTATTTACAATAGCAAAGACTTGGAACCAATCCAAATGCCCATCAATGATAGACTGCATAAAGAAAATGTGGCACATAAACACCATGGAATACTATATGGCCATAAAAAGGATGTGTTCATGTTCTTTGCAGGGACATGAATAAATCTGGAAACCACCATTCTCAGCAAACTGACACAAGAACAGAAAACCAAACACCACATGTCCTCACTCATGAGTGGTTGTTAAACAATGAGAACACATGGACACAAGGAGGGGAATGTCACACATTGGGGTCTTTTGGGGGTGGGGGCTAGAGGAGGGATAGCAGGGGGTCAGGAGGTTGGGGAGGGATAACATTGGGAGAAATACCTAATGTAGGTGATGGGGGGAATGGAGGCAGCAAACCACCATGACATGTGTGTACCTATGTAACAATCCTGCAAGATCTACACATGTACCCCAGAACTTAAAGTATAACAAAAAGAAAAAGAAAATTGTAGTCACATAATCTGTGTAGAAGACAGGCTCCTGTAGAAGATGAGGCATTCTTTGACCCTGTGAGGAGTCTCGGTGTGGAAGCTCTAAGCAGAGAGCAGCAGCAGGGTGCATGAACATTTCAGTTTTGCACACTGAGGCAATACTTTTAACAGTTGGTATATTTTAAAATGAGCTTATCTGTGGTCTTTCCTTGTGGCACAATTCCATATGAAGAAGAAATAAATGTCTACATTTATCCCCCTGATCCTGAAGCAACTGCCACCGTAGCTACCACTCTCTTGCTTCTGCTAGATGGATAGCACAGTAATATCATCTCTCTAACCATAGTACTCTCCAACGCACATTCATGGACACCTAAGCAATCTGGCCCCTCTCCCTTTAAGAGTTACTGTCCTAGAAATGGGGCGGCACCCTTCATCCCACCATACAGAGGGTACAGAGGGCCAGTCAACATGGGGACCATTTCAAAGTGATGTAGGAGACTGATAGCCCCCAAAGGACTGACTAGTAGCTGTGCCATATGGACTTTTAGTTATTGGACACTCACCTCTTTGGGAGAAAGTTGGGATGGCTGTTTTTCAATAGGTGCAGGCTCTAGGCAGCTTTGGCCCTGTCTCCAGCTCTTAGAGGGTGGGTAGCAAGCAAACTTTTCCAGCATAAGGCTGCGTTTCCATGTGCCAAAATGCATTTGGCCATGGAGCTGTTGGAGAAGGCCCTGGGGGAGCCTCTGTGTTTTCGCATGGTTGTGGGTTGCTAGGTCTGGGATAACCTGGGGCAGGCTGCATTGCTCACCAAATCCTTAAATTAAGTGCTTCAACAAGGGAACATGGGGTAAGCATGCCTGGCTTTTTCTGTCAGGGTTGGCAAAGCCAATTCCATAGCTGCCATGTCAAAGACCTCATTCAAGGTATGTCCAGCTGAAAGCATGGAACAACTTTGTCAGGCCAGATGGCTGGACCATGTGGGAGGGAGCCAGTCATCCACCAATGCTTGTTTAAGGTAATCTGAAACATTTTTAATAATAATTTCATTAAATATTTTTCACCTGCTTCTAAACAGCAGTGAAGCCAAGTTCATGTAACTAGGGAGAATTTCATTACAGTGGAAACTGTCTTAACACACATTGTTTTCTTTTGTGATCCAGTAAGTATGCTCCCAAGAGAGATCAAGCTGGGACTTCCCAGGATATACTACCTCAATGGTGTCAGTGCCACCCCAGGGCCCCAGAGAACTTGAAATTTGATTCCATGTCTTCTTGATCACTAGACCCAGCAGAAGAGCCTCCCACAGCCCCAGTGAGAGAAAGGCTTGAGTCAGCACCCATTTTGGGGAGGTCCCTCCACCCAGAGAAGTGAACCTTCTTTTTTAGATGGATGCCTCTGAAGCCACCAATGTGTCTTGACAGCAGCTAGCTGGTGCCTATGGCATTTGTCCTGTGGGATTCCATATCTAGCCCCAATCAAAGAGCCAGGGAAGTCTGTCTCCACAGTTGTCCAGTGTGCCCTGATGTACAAGGACACTAGGGTATATTTAGAAGCTGTCCATATCCACAGGGTGGAAAAATTGTTATTTCACAAAGCAACTGCTATGATACCCTTCTCCCTCTCTTTGTCCATAAAATTATTTCAAGAACAACACAAATGCCTTTCAAAAAGCCAATTTCTCTGTAACCCTCTCAAATAGTAGCTTCTTCCTCCCATTTCCCCAAATATCTCAAGATGAAAAGATGAGGTAGGCATCCTCTATGCTTGGAATTACTAATCAGAAGCAATTTTTACTTCCTCCTTGAACAATCCAATTTCTTTGAGCTTCAATACCTCCATATTGCTGATCTTTACTGACCTCTTGATGAATGGCCTCATCCATTCAGGACTTTAGCACCTACCTTGTGGTTTTCTTCTCCACCTCTATTTCTGGCACCATTCTTGATAACTTCAACACTTACAAGACTGACTCATTTAGCTCCCTGCATTCTCAGTTCTTTCAACTCTTTGCCACTGATATAGTGCTGCTTTCGCCTCACTTCAGTTACACATTTCCCCGGTCTCATCCCTACTAAAATCTTTACTCCCCCAATCTGTTCCAAGCTTGTCCCCTCTAACCACAACCCCCTCTTCATCTTGAACTCCATTACTGCTACCTAGGCCCTAACAATGAGCTCTCCCTTAATCCACCTAGCAGTCTTTCTGGCTCTCTCCCCCTCCCCGCCACACTGTCTCTTCTCCTTCCCTCCCTGCCTCTCTTTTTCTCCTCCAGCATCTTACCTGGAAAAATTATAACTCCATTTAACTCTGAATATAGTCTCCATGCCTACATCTAAGTAGCTTAATGTTGCTGGAGAAAATCAAATGGATGTACTGATGGGTTTGATTGAATTTCATAATCTCAAATCTCAAATGATCACTCATGATCACTCAACATTGATCTAGTTCATTTCCTCGTAGGTTCACTTTACATCTTTCTGAGATGGTTATTTTATACCTTCTCTTCTTCCTCCAAAATTTCACATGCTTTTTCTCTACCCCACTCCCCACTGTCAGATGATGATACTACTTGAAAAAGCAGGAACAAAAAGTCAGAACCCTTTTATCTACCAGGCACAAACATCTACAAGAATAGACCTCTATCCTCATCTACATTCTTTGCCTACCTTGCTGCCATAATGGAAGTTGTGTTCCTGCCCCTGCTGCCTGCCTTCATTTAATATCTGAAATTTACCCTCTCACCATCTAATATGGTTTGGCTGTGTCCCCACCCAAATCTCATCTTGAACTGTAGCTCCTATAATTCCCACGTGTTGTGGGAGGAACCCAGTGGGAGAGAACTAAATCATGGGGGAGGTTCCCCCATACTGTTCTCCAGGTAATGAATAAATCTCAGAAGATCTGATGTTTTTATAAGGGGTTTCCCTTTTTGCTATGCTCTCATTCTCTCTTGCCTGCCACCATGTAAGACATAGCTTTCACCTTCCACCACGATTGTGTTGCCTCCCCAGCCACATGGAACTGTGAGTCTATTAAACCTCTTTTTCTTTATAAATTACCCAGTCTTGGGAAGACTTTTATCAGCAGCATGAGAACAATTCATACACCATCTTAGGCACTTAGCTTCTGCATCCTCTGCTTGTCCCACTCTGCCTCATTTTTATCAGCATATAAACCTGTTCTACATCAGTGCTACATAGCAGGCTAGGCCATGAGGGGATAAGATTACACCACAGTGTATTTCAATGCATTGCTTCTTTCACTGGGATAGTCTTCCTGTGAAAAAGTAATGTCGATTGAACTAAGAATTTGATTCAGTGATGTTTTTGATTCACATTTGGTTCATGGACTGGCACAGATCTACAGAACTAGCCCAGATATCTGAACCACACTTTGAATTATACTGATTTGGATTCCCCATATTTAAAAACTCTCCCTTGGTCTCAGTTCCTTCCCAGGTATTTCTGATTTCTGAACTCACTCAAATATTTCACTAAAGAGTTTAAACCCATCATCCTGACTTCCTTGGCACACATTTGCCATTTAATCTATCGAGTCTGGCTTTTGTCCCTCTCCTTGGAACTTAATTTGCCTGAAGTTGTCAGCATTTCCACCATAATTTCTATCGGGATTTTGAAGTAGAGACCCATGCTTTTCCATGTTTTAACTCACTCCCTGCCCCCAAGTGAACCAATGAGACAAGGAGCTCTCCTTTAGTTCAGTCAGGTACTGAAAAGAAATTCTACAAATGAAAACATTCTAAGTAACATTCTATAGCTTATTGAATATGAACTGTACTTTATGAAAAGTACATATTGTGTATTCTTTCTGATCACTCCAGGTAAGGACTTTGACCCTGAACATAGGAAGTCCTAGTTCCAGTTTGACTCTTCCATGTACTAGCTGTGTGACCAAGCCTCTTAATTTATTTTTGACTCAATTTCCTAATCTACAAATAGTTCCTCCTCCAGAGGGTGATTGTAAGGCATGAATGATATTATATGCATGAAGCACTGATGAATATGAGAATGGACAGAACATTTAGGATCATAAGGATAATAGGCCAGTGTCAAGAGAAGGAGTCTAAAGAGACGCACAGGAGCTGAGTAACCTGTCACTATTCCATAGTCACAAGTCTCACTCTTGATTCATAGAAAATCTATTTAATAAATGAATTCATTATTGATGCATTGGCCTAAGTTAGAACTTGTGGAGGAATTTATCGCCATGACTAGAAACAATTGGAAATTATCAAAATATCACTCAATCACAAGACATTAGTTAACAAATTTCTACTATGTTCTCTTTATTACCATTTCCATAATGTTCTATTCATTTTCATGGATTATACCAGTAGATTAGTATATTTGTGGAGCTAAACATTTACATGGGAAAGAAACCTAATGGTACTTCTACAGTAAGTGGGTAGAGCCAAAGACACACCAATGCCCATCAACATTAGAGGGGTCAGGGAGAACTTAAGAAGATGGGGGACACTGTGGGTTGGCTTTTCATGTGATTTGTTTCTGAAAAAAAGACAAGAAAGCAGAGGTGTCATTTAAAATCTGAGGCTGGAAAGGAAGGGTAGATCTTGAATAACAGTTGAAGAACTTTGGCCTTGATCCTACAAGAAATGGGAAAGTAGATCAACATTTAATAACATAAGAACTATATAGAGGCAAAGAAACCTTGAATGTCTGGAAAATACCTCATTCAGCTCAGCCTTCACCTGGAACCAAGGAGAAAGCCTAGGTTCAGAGAGATGTTCAAGAGACTAGTCAATCCATGACAAAGGCAAGAATTCAACTCAGGTTTCACTGCCTGTGCAGTATTCTCTCCAATATGTCATCTTTGTGCAAGGACAACCATCCATGACTCATTGTATAAATTATAAACCAAAAAAGTATTATGTCTTTTATTCTCTCTCCTAACCTGAGAATAAACCATGATTACGCAGTGCACACTTAATGGTGCCAGATTTTAATATCAACATCAGATGGTCTAAGAGAAGTAAGTCCAGTATTCTAATCAGCATACTGATCAGAATAGGAGTTGTTAATGCAGTCTCGCTTTTCTGATAGCCAGAAATCAAACTGTACCTGCCTTCCTTTCTCATTGCTCCACTTTCCCTTCCAAGTTTTCTTTTTTCCCTCATCCCTCATTCACTCAAAAGGTCTTAATGCCAGGCCTTGCCCACATCATGTCTGATCCTTGTGACTAGGTGCTGGCTTACTACCAGCCAAGTGTTTTTTCAAGAAACTAGAATTTATTAGGCCCTAATTGGAATATATATATTTTTTACAATTCACATCTTGAAATAAAATTTAAACTTTTGCTCATGTGTTGAGAGAAGCAAAAAAATAAATTGATGGTGAAATTGTTGTCTTTCCATATGGCCCAGGAACCAAATGGGAGTATGATTTGCCTGAACTAAGAGGTGATGACTGGGCTGACAGTTTCATCAGGCTGAATACTGGGTAGTGTTCTGTGTTCTGTCTAGGATGCAAGATATGTTTCTCCAGAGATTATTTACTGGAAACAGAATTACCTCACTGTACTGAACTCTTGGATGTGCCTTTGTTTGCACATAGATAATATAAAAGTGGATTAACGGAATGACAGTAGAAACTTTGACATACATTTGGACTCTATAATCACTTTATTCAATTTTATTCAAGACGTATCAAAGTCAGCTTTGCAGTGTTTTAGTCATTGGGGGAAATAAAGACTCTGCATTCTTGAATTGTTTTATGCCTAGAAGTTGCAATGTATATTAGCTTAAAAAAGGCTCCAAGAAGTCCTGCAGTAAATAAACAGGTTCACTAGCTATTGCTCAAAACTTATTTGATCATGAAATTCTTTCTTTTTCCCCTAAGAAATTCCTGGTCTAGCAATTTTAGATTTATCAGCAAGACAGTGTGTGTACAAAAACCAAAAGAATAATTACCTGTGAGCACTGGGTAAATTCCTTATCTGCAAACATGAGACTATGATCTAATAGTTCATGACAGCAGCCTCTAGAGAAGAAAAACAAGAGGTGATAAATATGATTCATAGTCATATAGGAAAGGCCACAGGAAGGCGCATCTATGCAAAAAGTTAAACATGATGCGTGCTTTGACATTCAGAAATTATTCCAGAGTATCTCACTTTCCAGCTCATTAAAATAATGTTATCTCAGAAAGTCTAGCTACTCAGAAAATGTATTCCTATATAAAGCAAATATTACTACATTTGTACAAATAAGTTTTAATAGCATAAAAGATTCATGGTAGAAGCACTAAATCCATGCATATTCCCTGTAATATCAAAAATCCTATTTACTCACCTGTGTCATTGTCATCAATATAGTCCTTTAACATATTTTTGTAGTTGAATTACTCAGCTATTCATATTTTTAAAAATATTTTTATTTTTATACAATTCTGATCTTATTTTCAATTTACAGATAAGAAAATAAAATAAAAACTGAGAGAGACTTAGTGGAGGTTGTGATGTGCCACCCAGATTCCCCTTAGGATCAGAGCTCTCCTTCGCCCAGTCAGAATGGGAGGCTGCTAATGGATCTCAGTTTATTTCTCTTTCCAGGAGTTGCCCTCTGCCAAAGATAGTTGCCTTACCCAAGTTCAGGCACCCTCCCTGAAGCAGCTCACATCTACCGATTTGCCAGTAAAAGGGTACAAAACTTAGTTCCCTTGCCTGGATTCAGGACATCCCTGAAGAACCATGCCATCCCAGCTTCATAATTCATTGTGGGATCACCTGAATCTTCTGTTGCAACTTCATTGCAGAGTTCATCTTTTGCCTCTTTCTAGTTCTACTTTCCTTTCTCCAACATAGGTGTGAATCCCCAGGGTCTGCCCCCACTCTCCCAGTAAATATCATGCATGCAAATCTCTGCCTCATGGCCTGGTTCCTGGGGAAATCCAAACTAATGACTTGAAGTAACTTGACTCAAGTCATCCTACTAGCAGTTAATAGAAACAGAACTTGAAGGCAAATTGCATGTTCTCTCCAGAGAACACCAATCTGCCACCTGTCAGGTGAATTTTGTGGGCCCCCTCCCACCAAAATTCAAATGTTAAAACCTAATCCCCAATGTGATAATAGTATTAGATGATGGGGACTTTGGAAGGTGATTAGGTCATGAGGGTTCCCCCCATGAGTGGAATTAGTGCGCTTTTAAAGGAGATCTGAGGGAGCTTGTTCACCCCTCCCACCATGTGAGGACACAGCTAGAAGGTGCCATCATTGAAGCAGAGCAAGACCTCACCAGACACTAAATCTGTCGGGCACCTTGATCTGGGACTTCCCAGCCTCAAGAACTGTGAACAATGATTTCTGTTGTTTAAAAATTACCTAGGCTAAGGTATCTTGTTATAAAAACCTGAATGGATTAAGATAGTCTATAAATGGATGTGACCTCTACAAACACATCTCCTGCCTTTAGGTACCTCATTGGTTGGCTTCAATCACGTTAGCCTCCTTTTCCTTCCACAGACATGTCCAGCACAATCCCATCTCAGGAATTTGCACCATTTCTTCACTCTGTCTGGAATTTCCTCCTCCAGATATTTATGACTGGCTCTAATCAGTTATAGCTCGGCTCCAGTATCATTGCCTCAGAGATGCTTCCCTGACCATTCAGTATAAAGTAATCCCTTGGTTCTAGTCTTTCTTCTCTACAATATGACTCTGCTGTATTCATCACAGCACTTACTACTCTGTGTTAGCCTGTTTATTTATTTGTATATTTGTCTCTTGTGTTCTCCCCCAGTGCTTGATCTCCAGAATAATGTAATCCCTGCATTATTAAAGCAGGGACTTTGTGAGTATTCTCAGTGCCTTGAATAGACTTCTCAAAGTGGTCCGTAGATACCGGATCAAATTACTTTCATAATAATACTAAGACATTAAATGCCTTTTTCACTGCGTTGACATTTGCAATGACTGTGTAAATATGCAACAGTAGGCAAAACTACTGACTCATTAGTACAAACCAAGCAGTGGCACCAAACTGCACAAGTGGTCATTGCATTCTTTTTCATGCACTTTCAGGAAAAAAAAAAAAAAAAAGTTTTGCTAAGGAATGCCCATAATGAAGCAGTAAAAATTATTGTTTTGAAAGTGGGATCACATTCTTTTTATGTGCCATGTGATAAATAGAAAAGCAAGCTTAAAATATGCCTCCCCATCACAAAGTATAATTGTCTCGAGGAAAAGCATTTGTGTGATTGATTGTGAGCTGAGCTAGCTACATTTTTCATGAAACACCATTGCTACTTGAAAGAATGACCACCAGTCAAGCAATGGTTACTTATATTTGCATATCTGGCAGACATTTCTTCAAATATAAAGAAAAAATATCACTTGATAAAATTCAGAATTTCAAGTGAACGTTAGAATTTTGGAAAACTTGTATCTGCTGCCATCGGTTTGGCAGCTTCCTAATACTTAAGAGACTTTTCTGTTGAAATTGATAGGTGATGTTAGCAAATGCCTGCTATTTTTGGATCTAGTCTATATAGTATAATGTAATGTATCAACTTTTAGACTATGTTAATCACTCAGTAAACCAATATTTTCCAAGTGCACAATGCATGAGGTTACAAAATTATTCATGGTTAAAGGATCTATTCCAAGCTCAAGATAGACCAGTGAATTTTAATATAAGAGCATGAAAAGTTTATTGATATGGTTTCAAATTCCGCCTTGCCACTGACTTTTAAGAACTTACAGCCACTTGGATTTTATTTTAGCATCAAAGAAGATGATCCACAATTATCTGAAAAGACTATTAAAATATTTTCCTCTTCTCAGCTATGTAACTATATGAGCCTGGATTTACTTCATATGCTTGAACCAGAACACGTATCACCCCAGGTTGGATGTAGAGTATGAGAATTCGGATTCCAGATGAAACCAGATACTAAAGAAATCTGCAAAAAAAATGTAAAACAATTTTACTCTTTTCACCATTTTTTGTTTTGAAAAATAAAGCAATTTTATATTCATAATTTATGTTTTTATTAATGCATAAAGTTAATTATTTTTAAATCAAACAATGAATATTTTAATTTCTAAATTAGTAAATTTTGATTAATACAATAATAAACACAGTACATAAACAACATTCTTTGAAGTCCTCAATAATTTTTTTTTAGTTTATTAAGAAAGTAAAAGAATAAAAGAATGGCTACTTTATAGGCAGAGCAGCCTCAATAACTTTTAAGAGTGTAACAGGATTCTGGAATCAAAAAGTTGGAGAACCATTGACCTAGAATCTGTGTTGGCATAGAGTTGGCATTCAAAAACTATTTATTGAATGATTTCAATGTTTATAAAAGGAAATAAATAATAGAAATTTACTCCCCATTAGATTATACATCACATGTCTGCACATTACAAATAAGACATTGTTGTTTCCATCCAGGTGAGTGAGTATACCTTCATGATGGCTAAAGTAGGTGGTTGTCAGAGAGTATCCATACCAAATTCGGTGGAGTTTTTTGTTTGTTTGTTTATGGGTGGTTTTTTTTTTTTTTTGGAGACAGAGTCTCACTCTGTCACCCAGGCTGGAGTGCAGTGGCGCAATCTTGGCTCACTGCAGCCTCCCTCTCCCAGGTTCAAGCAATTCTCTTGCCTCAGCCTCCCGAACAGCTAGGATTACAGGCATATGCCACCATGTGCAGCTATTTTTTGTATTTTTAGTAGTGACAGGGTTTCACCATGTTGGCCAGGCTGGTCTTAAACTCGTGACCTAAAATGATCTGCTCACCTTGGCCTCCCAAAGTGCCGGGATTACAGGCATGAGCCACTGCTCCTGGCCAATTTGATGGTCTCAAAAGGAAATCTTCATTTCCCACATGCAGCCAAAATCTCAGGTATTTTTAGAGTACAGGAAGTCTGTGGGCTTAAAATAAGTTCTTATAGGCTGGCCTGGCCCAGTATGTTCTTTACTTGTTGCCAAGGGGGCATTTAGAAGAAGGAAGAATTTCAGCACAGTCTTTGAAAGTTAATAAATTTATATTCATGCTCTACCTATCAGATTGCCTGAAGACATGAAGGGAAATGCTGTTTGAACAGGAAGTCTGTTTTGGAAGCCCAGACTTTTGAAGTCTGTCTTTCATGAAAATGTATAAAATCGAATTCATAGTCAGAGCACCAAGCTGACCCTCTTCCTCAAGCTCCCCTCTCAAGCCAGGGCATGATAAGCAGAGACAAGCAGAAAAACTGAGATTGCTGGGGACCCATTAGCCATGCCAGTGTTTCAAAGGGTAAAGTTAAGCAGCCTGGACGTGAGCATTCTGAACAGTAAAGCTGGGAGATGATGATGGGGCTTTCTGTAGAACATTTTCTAGAGCCAGCCCTGAGACTTTCAACAGCTTTAAAGCAAGCTTACTCAATTGGCTAGCCAGATTTTGAATAGCTCTGACTGGCTTTCATAAGAAAAGTATAGAAAGTTTGCTTCAAATTTTGTAACAAGAATACTTATATCTGAATTACAGCAACATCTTGATTAACTAGAACTGAGCAACAAGAGCTTTCAATTAGACACATTTATCCTATGTTTAAATTAAAAATTAAAGTGAGAAGAAAACCAAGTGGCATAAACAATGGAGTAAGGACAAAAGGACTACTTGCAGAGTGTCTCCAGGGTTAAACCTCCTTTCAGTTCAATCTTCTGTATTTTCAAAGTTCACTTGCACCCGATACAATAGTAACTATGGCTCCAAATGATGATTCAGAGGCATTGAAGATTCCAGTAACTCACCAATTCCTCATGCATTTTGGAAAATCACTGGACACGATTTATTATTTAAAAATTTGCATCATGTTGGAGAACTTGGATAACCTGGAAGCCTATGAAGTGTTACAGAGCTCGACTACAATCTACTGTAACATATTCCCCTGGTGTGACACACTCACACTGATAGCCACTATCAATTAACAGGTGGTTGCTTACTCATAGTAGCTAAAGTATTGAAGATGGATACAAAATTATTTTATTATAATAAAACAGAGAGATTTTTTTTTTGAGACGGAGTTTCGCTCTTGTTACCCAGGCTGGAGTGCAATGGCGCGATCTCGGCTCACCACAACCTCTGCCTCCTGGGTTCAGGCAATTCTCCTGCCTCAGCCTCCTGAGTAGCTGGGATTACAGGCACACGCCACCGTGCCCAGATAATTTTTTGTATTTTTAGTAGAGACGGGTTTTCACCATGTTGACCAGGATGGTCTCGATCTCTTGACCTCGTGATCCACCCACCTCGGCCTCCCAAAGCGCTGGGATTACAGGCGTGAGCCACCGCCCCCGGCCCAGATAATTTTTTTAAATTTAAAATGTAACATGCCTTCCTTTTTTCCTTTTTCTTTTTTCTTTTTTTTTGAGATGGAGTTTCGCTGTTGTTACCCAGGCTGGAGTGCAATGGCGCGATCTTGGCTCACTGCAACCTCCGCCTCCTGGGTTCAGGCAATTCTCCTGCCTCAGCCTCCTGAGTAGCTGGGATTACAGGCATGCACCACCATACCCAGCTAATTTTTTGTATTTTTAGTAGAGATGGGGTTTCACCATGTTGACCAGGATGGTCTCGATCTCTTGACCTCATGATCCACCTGCCTCGGTCTCCCAAAGTGCTGGGATTACAGGCTTGAGCCACCGCGCCCGGCCCCTGTTTTCCTTTTTCTTTCTACATACTTGACTTTCACTTTACGGGCCCATTCATCCATTTACTGTGGGAGTTGGGCTATTATAAAGGAGTCCACCACTAAAGATGAGGGTGACATTAATAAAAAATAAGATTTCAGAACTAGAAAAAAGGTGTGAAACTTGAGTGTTTGTTCAGAGGAAGATTTTCTAATCTCTGTCTCTTTTTTAGCCTGGGTCATTCCCGGAAGACCTGGCTTTAAGACTTCTCCTGTAGGGAGGTGAGGATACCCCATCTATGTGACAGGAGCCTACCAGTTCATTATAGTACATGATGAAAAGAGATACAAAATGAAAGTTGTATCGCTCTTCCCATATACCCAGACATCAGCCTCAGGAAAAGAGAAAACAGGTACATCGTGTGTCTTCATATTCTCTTTTCTCATCTTCGGACTAGAGAAAGGAAAGTATATTAGAAAAGCAGAGATAACCTTGAAGGAAAAAAGCGGGTATTCTGTTTTTAAGTCACAGACTTCCCCTTGGGCTTGACAGGGCAGTGTTATCAGGCTGAAGGTGGCCCTGAATTGAGATTATCTGAAGTTGCCTTCTGTTCCCATTTAGGATAAAAGTGAAATTGAGAGCCAATAGGCTAGTGGTTGCTCTTATCTTTGGGTGATGGGTGTACTAGTCAGGGTTAGTGGAACCAAGGAAGCAAGACCATAGATATGAATAAATTTATTATGGAAACAAATATAAAGATCAAGAAGTCTAACAATCACTCTCTGCAGGCAGGAGAAAACCAGGAAAGCCATTGGTGTAAGTCAGTCCCACTCCAAAGGCCTGAGAACCAGAAGCTCTGACATTGAAGGGCACGGGAAGGGGGATGTCCCAGTTCAAGAAGAGACAGTAAATTCACCTTCCCTACACCTTTTAGTTTTACAAGGCCCTCAACAGTTTGGACACTGGGAGTCACCTTGGTGAGAGAGATCCTCTTTTCTCAGTCAGTAGCAACTCAGTTGCTAATCTTTTCTCTCTTCCAGAGATGTCCTCACAGATACATCCAGAAATAATGTTTTACCAATGGTATAGGTATTTCTTAGCTCAGTCAAACTGTCATAAAATTAACCATCATGGTGGGTAAAATGATCCTGTAGCAGAAGATAGGTGGGACATTTTACCAGGAGAAAAAGAGGAAGCCAGTGCTGAAATGGGAGGAATAGGCAATTCTCCCCGAGAGTACTGGCTAGGTCTAAAAATGGTTAGCATTAGAAGCCAGCAAGTGCCCAGCTTTCAGACAAAAAGAAACGTCACCCTGGAGATCAGGAATGCCAAAGATACCGTTCCCCAAAGTCTCTGAACTTGTCACCCTTCACAAGGTCACATGAGCCACATACCCCCACCCCATATACCCAGACGCCATCTTATAGAAGAATCAGGGAAGTGATCAGAACACTGAGCCACTGAGCACTGTCAAAAAGAACTATTTTAGTGATCAGATCTCACTAAAGTTTTAAAGTATGTAGCTAGGACTGAAAGTTATCCCTCCATCTGCTATCCAAAGGCAGATTAGAATTAGTTATAGATAAAATAATGAAATTGAATTTCCTCTGAACTTTCAAATTATTGGGTGAGTAAGTTTGTGGCCAGCTACACATGAGAGTTCTATTGTGATTTCTGGATCTATGGCTATCCTGCCTCTGTGTAGATTAATAAATGCTCAAACTAAATTTAGGAAGGTATATTAGGCCAAAGTCAGAAACAGATGTAGACTAATCAGCAGATGGGAGGAACAAGACAAGTTATCATGAGACCCTTTCTTGACTTCTGAAATTTTTAAAAGATGAATTGTTCCTTCAGAAAAGAAAGTCCAATTGCAGCTGGAACTCAGACCATTAATTCACTGGCCTGGGACTTCTGAGACACCTTGGAGGAAGAGATGGGACTTCATAAGAAGTTCAGAAAGCACGTGGGTAGTAAGGCAGACACTGGGAGAAGTGTTTAAAAAGTCCATGGAAGGCAGGGTGGGAGAATGCTGGTTCCACAAGAGTTAGTTCAGCTAGTGCCACTTCCTCTCCTACGCCAGCAGGCAGGAGCCATTCAAGATGGTGGGGAGGGGAACATGGTGGATATTTGAGTTGAATTATCATCAATGCTTGCCATAACAAACCAGCTGCTCACTTCCAGCTGCATAGGACCCACTCATGATTTGGTCCTGCATAGGGACACTCATTGCCCCAGTGACAGAGCTCCTTGGGGACTCATGGAGTCTGTGTTGGGGGGAATCAAGCCTCT